ACACACACACACAGAGTGTGTGTGTGTGTGTGTGCGGTAAAACATATGTACGTATGAATCGTAGGTAGGTGGATGGGTAGGTGGGTAGGTAGGTAGGTAGGTAGGTAGGTAGGTAGGTAGGTAGGTAGGTAGGCAGGTAGGTAAGTAGGCAGGTAGGCAGGTATCCATGTGTGCATGCATTCTGTGTGTGTATGCATGCGCGTACGTATGTACTACATTCACTACGTTTCTATTTCTATTCACATTGTATCACATCACATCATTCATGTGTACATGTCGCCTGCTGTGCACTGCGATGTGCCAATCGTTGGAACCTAACCCAAACTCCTTCAGGCTTCGGGTGCATGAGCGTCAACGCAGATGGTACTGCCGGCACGAATAAGCCCACTTGATCGGAGGGCCCTTGCAAAAAGCGGAACGGAAGCTCTCATATCTCAACGCCCTGTCCGCATGGTGGTTGCCAGCGGCTGCCTCGACGCCGCTTGCGGCGACGCCCTGGCGATCGTGATCGAGACCGGCTCGCCTGCTGCCAAAGGGGTTGGGTTTAGGCTGAAAGGCCTGGGCGGATTTGAGTGGCCCCATGTTTAGCCACACCCAACGCGTCGATTCCAGATCCTCGAGGGCCTGCCCTGCAAGTGACTTCATTCAGGCTCTTTATTTCCGGAAAGGCTTTGGGGTCAAGGCTCAAAAACCCAGGCTAGTTTCTGCATGTAGCTGCTTCTCTTTCGGAGAAACTTTCGACAGCGCATCCCAACTCTCGTCGTAAAACGAGTGCGTGGCTCGAATCTGAGGTTCGGGCGGCTTTCAGCGTGTAGGCTTGAGGGTGGCTTGACTGTAGGAATCGGCTCAGGGGTGCAGGTTGTGGCCGCAGTTCAAGAGACCTGTGCGATGCGAAAGTGAAAGCTGGAGCCTCCTCTGAAATCCTTTCCATCCCGATGAACGAGCACCAGACCAGGTCCATATTCGCAACCCTATGTTTCCATGGCCTGTGAGCGAGGAACGCCGTTTGCCGGCGCAACCCTTAGCCGCTGGCTTTGGGATTCGGAGATCTTGAGGGCCTAAGCAGATTCTGTAAGGATTTGGGTGGGGTCCACTCGGGAAGCTTTGGCTCACGTGTCGAGAAGCCGAACTCAAGCTATCGATGCCTTCATGCGACGTGCGAGCCATCTTGCAGTTTCGGCCGAGAGGCTGCGGTGGCTGCCATGGAACTCCCTCGCAGCTACATAACTTCGAAGGACAAGCGAATCCGGACACATAGCTACTTCTGCCCGGATTCTGGATCCCCAAAAATGCAAGTCACCTCACACAACACAAGAGCAGTGGGGCCATGACCACCTCATTCTTTCAGAGATTGCACCGCATGATGTTGTTAACTACAGTGATGCAACTTGCAGTACCTGTTGAAGAGGCCACGAAGTCTGCTATACCCCCTTTGAATTCTCAGTTCCTCCACCCCGAGCTCCTCCCGCGACGGCGGACCGGACCAATGACTCGGCGGGCCCTGAAACCACGGGAAAATTTCAATGAGGTGTCCCGAACATCTGTACATACTTATCGGCATTTATGATTGTGTGTATATATATATATACACATGTAACATCTCTCTCTATCTATGACTGGCCTTTGCGGTTCTCTGTCTCTCCCTGCCTCTCTGCCTTTTGGTCTCCCTCCCTCCCTCCCTCCCTCCCTCCCTCCCTCCCTCTCTCCATCTTCTTCTTGCGGACCAAAGGTGAGGGCGTGAGAGCTTTGGAATGATGTATTGGCCAAAGCGGCAGAATAAGTAGTGTCGACATGTGATTTTGGCCCCCTGTCATCGCCGATTGCTCTCCCCGCTGCCGGCTGTGTTGTTCGGTCGGCTTGGGGCGGGCCTTCGGCTCAGACGCATCGATTGCTGCGGCCAACAAAAACAAGGGAAGCACACGCACACCACATTGTAGCGTTTGCGAGGTGTCTTCCCGCTCTCTTGTTCCTTCTTTCGCCAGGGCTATGGTGTAGGGGTTTGACCCGCTCTCTATTCTATTCTATTCTCCTGGGTTCAGGGTGCTTGTCAGGCACCCCGCGCCGAATGCCGCGCCCTGTTTGGGGGCCTTGTGGGGGGGTCGGTAATGACACGGATGCTCGGTCTTTGGGCCAGGAAAAACAATATGATAAAAGACACCAATGCAAGGTCTAAGGAAAAGGACGACTGAGGAATGGACGCGAACTTCCCCGTCTTCAAAGCCTAGTGCATAGACTATCATAGACTGTTCGGTGGGGTCTGTTCCCCCTACCTAGAACCTACACCGAGGCCTCTCCGTTCAACATCGCAACATAAGCAACAGCCGTCTTAGGAGCAGAGAAACGTGAACACGTTCCCCCGAAAGGCCTGAAGTAAAAAGTGACCGCAGGTACTTTTCCCCTGCTATTGTTCGACAAAGCTCCCGCTCCCTTTCTTTCCCCAGGGGCTGTGGTGGGGAGTTGCCTCCCCACCGCGCGCATGGCAACAACAGTCGGAGCCCGGAAAAAGACATTGTCCCGGTCTCTTTCTTTCTTTCGCCAGGGCTAGGGTGTAGGGGTTTGATCTCTCTCTCTGCGTCTGTACTGCGTAGAGATGTCTGTATATGTAGGCATCTACATCTTTCCCCGTGTCTCTTCATTACTGCACGCACAGAAATTTACGGTGTACAAAGACCCAACAGCTGCGCCACGATACTTTGCCCATCCATCTAGAATTGAGTCAGTCTACTCAGGTATCTTTCAGCGAAGACAGGAATACGTATGCAGACATTCAAGCAAACAAGGGCACGAACGCAGACACGGACACACAGACACAGTCAGAGATGTGTGTATATATGGTGTGTGTGTGTGTGTGTGTCTGTGTGTGTTTTATGTATGTATAATTACATAACCTATATATATATATACATATATATATATATAAATATATATTAATGTATGTATATATATATATATGTATACATATGATTATACACATACATGCATACACATATGTATATATGTGGATGTAGGTGCGTAGGTAGGTATGCAGGTGTGTATGTATGTATGCATGCATGCAAACATACCAACATACCCACCTGCATAAGCACGTGTGCACACACGCACACATGCTTATGTGTGTAGTTACATGCGTGAAGACAGACATACGTACATACAGACAGACATACATACGATGTGTACATCCATGCATGCAGACAGACAGGCAGACAGATAGGCAGGCCTGTGTACATCCTACAACCATACATGCGCACACACGTACCGATTATTTGCACACACAGCTTGTGACCACGATGCTACAAGTAGAAGCAGCCATGATGCGTACTGCTCAGTTTAATTGAACGATGCGCCGAGCATAACCACACACGAAGTTGTCGCTTGTTCATGAAGCTGTTGTTAATCCCACGTGCGGTGCAACCCCTGGTAAGGTCGCGCTGACCACTTTCGTGGCCCAGGGAAGTATCGCGAGCCTCCTGGGGTGGTTTCCAGGGCCCCTCAACCTGAAGCAAGGCAGAGAGGCGTGTGCGGGCGGTGGGGGGGCGGCTGAAAGGCTTTATGAATGACATGGTGTCTAGGCTTCGTGGGAGCCTCTGGAAAGAGGGTCATTCCTCTGTGCAGCTTCCTGGCTCGGGGAGAGCCCTCGTTCAGGAGATCTCTGATAGTCTCGAAATGTCTTTATCAACTCGCAAGCGGAACATCGTCGCTTCAATTGCAAAGTCCCTGAAACGAAAACTCGCTGTGCTCACGGTGAGATGGGAATGCTCTCTTTCTTGCCGGTCGGGAGTTTCTCTTCTTGTTTTTCAAGACGATGGTTTGATCGGTAAGGGCAGAACCTCGAGTAAACCGCGAACCCTTCCCAAAAAGCGCTGCGCGGCCTTGCTCATCCGAGTTTCCTGACAAGCGGAGGAGCATGGATTCTCTAAGCGAGGAACACGGGCTGTACCTTCGACCCGCAACACCGCAACACCTTCGCGCGGGCATACCGCGCATCATGCATGTATTGCAGACGTATGAAAGCCAATCTTCGTTCAAAAGCTCGTTGTAGAGATTTCGGCTCTCAGGGATTGAGCCTGAATTGACACTTGCCGACAGCCATGCATTCCGGTTCAATAGATTGTTCAAAGCCGGAAGGTGCTCCGCTGCGATTCTACCGTACACTAATGTCTTGAGGATGCAGCATTCACAGGGCCAAGGACTTCCGTGGCTCCAACCACTTCCATGAGGCTCCCCTTCACACAGTCATGACCACAGGCGGTGGGGGGCAGGTAGCGACGGCACAGCTTCAGCGTTCAAGCACGAATTCACAACAGCAGCTGTGACAAAAGCGTGTCCCATTGACGTCTCAACTAGCTCTCCCTACAATCCAGGTGGCACTCCGACTCCGAAAGTCCGGCATGACAATGCGCCTGCTCTGACAGCTGGCTCCAGAATCACTTCTCTTGGCCATGGCTCGCGGAGTCTTCCGGCGCTGGGCAACGAGTCGGGGAAGTACAAAGGTCTTACATGGCGGCTGGGATATCCCCACATGAACTCTCGCCAGCCTCTTCAGAAAATTCATCTTGCCCTCTGAAGGCCGAGCTGAAGGCTTACGCAGCTTTGGAAGGGGGATGCTTCTTAGGGTTTAGGGTCGCATCTGCAGTGTGAATATGAAGAAGCTTGAATAGTCAAGAAGGCGAGACGGGGCTCCCCCGTGCTGCTCAGCACGTAGAGAAGCCAGTCTCTGCAGAAGTCACAGACGTTCATGAGAATCAGAATCTATGCCGATGCCCTCTCAGCATGATCTTGCTTAGTTGCAACTAGCCGAGTAGCTGCCCAAACAGCCCGTTGAGGAGCAGCTTCCTTCTAGAGTCAATCATGGGAGCGATTCTCCAGGACTGCTGGGCTCATCGCTAGAATTCAGCCTTCGGGATCTAACTCACCCACTAGCCCCATCAACAAAGAACCCTTGACACACCCGTCCAATCCCAGAGGCAATGTGCGGAAAATATCAGCATGGAACGCCGTCAGCCACATCATGCTTTCACTGACACTGCTTGATTCGGTGCCCGCTTTTTGACGGCCACATACGGCCCTTTGTCCGCAGCCCGAAGTTACCGCTGGGGCGAGCTGCAGGCCCATTCGCAGGTTTCCAGCGAAATGGCCGGTGGACCATCTTCTCCAGGCCCCTTGAAGCAAAGCCTCGACTAATCATGCGGGGTTTCTTCTGCAGCGGTCCTAATCACAATCTTCTCCACGAAACGGCAAAGAATGGAAATACGAGGCTTTGTCTCGAGTTACCCAAGAAGATCCCCTGAAACATTAGCTTACACGGTGAGGATCCCCTTGCTTCACGTGACTCCTGCACGGCTGTGGGGTGAGGGACATACCAAACTTTGTTGGAATTCTGGGGTTCTGGAGCTATGTTGTGAGCCAAGAGGATCCATCCTTCGCAAGGCCGCGCAGCCTTTGCAAGAACTTTGGCTCGGGTGTGCGTGTTGAATCCCAAACCGTGAAACCGACGCCCATACTCCGTCATACTCCATGGTTTCGCAGTGTCTGGACCTTGAAGGTCCGTGTGTGAAAAACGTGTCTTTCTGGGCGCCGTTCCCTGCCGGCAAGCGCGGCTCTGCAGACGGGAAAAACTACTCAAGGCCGTGGCTGACACATCCACTTGTAAAAGTCGTCTGACAGTTTTGGAGCTCAATATTATTTAATAAGACTTCTTCCATGCTAGAGGACCCGGCTCAGGTCATGGTTACCGAGACCTATGAGCAAAAGATGAAGAACGAAGCCTCGTTGGTGGCAAGTGCTTCTGCTTACGCTGCACCGTTACTTGGCTCAGAATCCAGGGACGGAGCACAGGTTGTGTGCCAGCCGCCTTACTTCCCATCGTTTCGGAATTGACCATAAACTTTGGCCCCGTGAAGCTCGTTCGGGCCCCCCGTTGAAATGACGAGTCGTCTTCCGTGCAGGAGGCTGCTGAATCCACCAGGTCCATGGAGGGCCAGGAACAGGGAACCCTCGCTTCGAAAGCCACTTCGGCGCTCCGGACCCCCTCCTTTGCAGCTGCGAGATCTGTACGGGCGAGGTCCATGGACTTCGGGGCTCAGGTTGTGGGGCCGGAAGGGAACAGCTTTAACCTTAAATTTTAACGTTGCTAACATCTGCTGGATCCCCTTTGGGAAAGCAGATCCTGACGGCGAGCCCTCAGGGCTCCCGGGGAAAACTGCACAGATGCTGCCTTGACAATGAGCTTCGGGAGACCTGACTTATCCTAACGACCTGTGGGACGGCCTCCGGTTTCCTTGAAGCTTTCATGGTCTCTGCGACTCAGCGATCAGATCTCGAGAAGTTGCTCCCGGGGTGCGAGACGGTTGATGCGCTCAGACAGGAAGCGGAACTCCTGCGGGAACTTCTCAAAAAGCCCAGAAACCTCGGCCCTATCCCAAACAACTCCTTGTTAACACCTACATCAATCCCAAACATGTAGGTTCTAGAACTCCAGGCCTACGTGTAGTTGCGTGGCAAACACCCTCTGCCTATGCCCTGCCCGGCCCGTCCCCGCTGAGCTTCTTGAGCGCTTGTCTCGTCAACTTGTTCTCGTAGCTCATCTTTGCCAGCTGCAAGCCTGAGCTTGCAATCTGTCCGTGAAGTCCCGCCTCTGTGGCGTACCCGGGCCAACTAAAAGTTCTCTGCGAGAACTGCCATGAGTCAGGAAGGCCTCAGCCTGTGTCGGGTTGCAATCAAGCGGCTCTTTGCGGGGCCGTTTAGCTGCATGCAGCCAGAGACAAACTCCTGATGCCACCGCCACGTTGCTCTTTTTTCAGGTGTCTCATCTGTGTCGAGAATGAGACGTAACAGGTGTAATTAACATCGTGCTGGGAGGAAGTTTGATATGCACTCCGAAGATCTCCGAAGCAGCCGTGCCGCTCTGAAGCGGAAGGGCACATGCGAGAGAGATGTGTCCGGCTCTGGTTTGACGCGATGCCGAAGGCCGAAGGGGATTAGGAAATGGCCTGAAAGCGTACTGTACGGGAACTGCTTCTCAGTAGCGATTCACCTGCTGAATTGCACCTCTTGGGCCGTTTTGCCCCATGCGTTCCAGACAAGCCCAAGCCGATCTGACTTCAGCGCCCCAGGCGTCCTCGATATCGATCAGGCCTTGGGTTCACTGCAGATACGAGTTGAATGGTTCCGCTCTACGTGTACTCATCATGATGCTCTTGTCACGGCGGGGGCTTTAGGAAGTGCCATTTGGTTGCGGCTGAGAGGCCGTTTTCATCGCGGTCCAGCAGCATGAAGAAAGTCCAGACATCATCGGTTGAGATTCCAATGGAATCCTTGTGGGCGTGATTGTTCTTGAACAAGCTTCGATGTGGAGGAGTGCTTGGACATGTCCGGCCGTTTCGGAATCGAAAACCTGCCGAGTGTCCAAGAAGTGCGACAACTTCTTCGTGTCAATGGCTTCCTCCATGTCCTGTCGCTTGGGTAGCATCCCAGGTTCAGAGTTCGTGGAAGCCTTGAGCCGCTCGTCTAAAACCTGAAAAACTTTAATGCGGCATTACCCCGGATTGGTCGAGCCAACAGCCCCAGAGCGCCTGGAGGCTGATGTTGTTGGAGCCCGAATGGTCGAGCTCTTTGAAAATGTCCTTTTGGGGGGTTGCACTGAGGGCTGAAGATGGCTGAGGGTTGAGACTTCAAAAGTCAAAAGCTTTCACTGGGATGTAAGAAGTCTTTCGGGCCTTGGTAAAGCTCTCGTTTACCGTTTTAAGCTTTGTCTGGGTTACCAAGAGAGTTGCTGGGTTGCCTTTGTCTCAGGCCTCCATCTTCGTACATGCTATGAGCCGACAAATCGACGCGACCAATAGCGCGGCAGACGGAGGAGCGGCAGAGTAAGAGAGAAGAGAGAGAGAGAGAGAGAGAGCGAGAATGAGCGAGAGAGAGGCAGAGAGCCTCATACGGAAGGTTATATACAAACGATCCCCAATGGCTATTCGGCACTCTAGATGGAACTTTGGGCTCAACAAAGAACTCAAAAAAGGGCGTCAGGGCCCGCCAATTAATAACTCTCTTTGTAGATCCCAAGTATCGCCATGAAACAACACCAGAAACCTGTTCAGTAGCGCAAACATCTCTGTGTTGCGACATCGCCTTGAGCTGGTCGATTTGTGCTGCACGCTTTCGTGCTTGCTTGATGGTCGCGACCTGGTTTTGAGCTGCAGTAAGATGGGGCTGGATTTGGGCAGATCACAAAAGCTGAACGTGCCAATGACTCTTCCGGCATGTTACACTTGTAGATGAGGACGGCATGATGTGGGGTTGTAAAGGACACCAATACAGTGGCCGCATGTGAACTCCTTGAATCCTTGCAGTTTGGACCCTGGCACATGGCCTTATCTTTGCGCAGTGGGGATCATCCCGGTGCAGCTCTCGGAAGGCAGTGAATGGACCAATATTGCCAAACCCCGAAACTCTGAGGCAGTTTCCGAATCGGAGTTGACCAGATGCACGTACTATTGAGCCACCCAGAATTGCAAGTCTCTCCCTTGCCATACCAAGAATGTGTAAGTTTTTCTCAGACTCCTTACACTCGCGCGCGATTTTCAGAAGACAGCCCGCCCAAAGCAAGGAAACTGAGGCCTCCTTGTCTGCACTAGCGCTTTCGATCGCCGTGTTACCTTGCAGTGCAAGGTAGGTCCCAGTTCATAGCTCTGTCTTAAGGGTCGTGGCAAGTTGAAAGCCTTTACGGATGCGATGCTCAATCTCAAGGGGCAATCGTCACGTGCAGGCCTAATTGCCGGCACAGAAGTCACTCATGTTGTGATGCCAGGGTTCCGCTGGGCATTGGGTGGAAACAAGCTACCATGCGGCTGAAGTTGTTCAAGCAATACATTCCCGCACAATAGAAAATCAAAACTTAATTCTCGCCACAAACTACAGCCATGAGGTCGGGTAAAGCACGGGCAGAGCTCGAAAGAAACGAGCGAAGCAAGCGTTTAATTAGCACATGAAAGGCTCTCTGGCAACCTCCTTAAAAGTGTGCGCCCTTCATGTTTGGGTTACAACCTGCTCTTGATTGCCGATAGTGTCTGGACCGAGCTTCAGAAGACGCCAGTGACGACGTTCAAAACTGCGAACACTGCGATTACGATGTACAAAATGACCTTGGAATCGAGAAACAACGATGGCATGCCGGCATTCCTCCTTGCTTGCACTCCCTCATCCTACTACATGCAAAGAGGAACTCAAACAATCACATAACTGAACACCATGAGGTTGGCATATCCCATGATCTCCTCTTTAATTTAAGCAAGCCAATAGAGGAGGATCCTTCCCCAGGTTATCTTCGAGAGCTTTTTTGGAAGTTGCTTCGAAGTACTTGCAGGCAGACACATCACAGGCCATCGAAACTAGCCTTTGCTGTTTGGACGAGGGTGTCTGTTGTCACACTGCTTCGTGTGAGCGCTGTCGGCAAACTTCTCAACAACTCGCTCGCATGAACTTGATGCTTCGAACCTTTCTCACGTGTCGTTTTCCAAGGCGGAAGTTTGGACGTGGGTCTCCCAAGGATGTCTCGAGTCTCGAGCTGCTCGCATGTGGTCGTGAGGGCAGGATCATGTCGGAGCTTCTTGAACCTAGGACCTGCAATGTGTGTTTGTTTTCGTCTTTATGTGTTCCACCTCCAGAGATGCCAAGTCGGCTGCGTGCCAAGGAAGCTCTGGCCGGCTTACAACATCTTCACATGAGGTCGCCGATGCTTCAGCGTCACCAAACTGCAGAGCACTCTCTGTTGGCGGCCTGCAACGCTTGCGAACGCCACCACGACTCTCTCACCTGCTTGGCTGGACCGCTGTCGGATCCCAAGATGTCGGCATCCACGAATCCAACATTCCATTGACGCTTGAAGGACGGACAGTGAAAAACACGTCCTGCTGAACACCTCGCCGTCCAAGATGCAGAAGATGCATCCAAAACGAACACCTAGTTCTAAGTCCAGTTAAGACCCCAAATCCCCCAATCACCGCCAGTGAAGCCGAGGATCCAAAGCGAAAGCCAAGCTTGAGACCTGCGCAGTGCACGGAAACAGTGAGCTTCGAAGGGAACGCCCTCTTGGGGCCGTCCTCCTAGTTTGTCCCCTTTCCGAAGCCAAAGGCAAGTGCACCTAGTGCACCTACCTCCACTGGGGGATAAGGGCTTGCATGCTACACGTACCGTGAAATATCACGGGCATGCTGCAACTTGCCTTACGTATGGGCCGCATGGCGTCGTCCCAACTGAGGCCGCCGGAGATAGCCATGAAAAGCCTGCCACAAGTACGATATGGATCATTGCCGTGGTTCCAGCTAAATGTATATTTACACAGACTACGCAAACCCAAAACAAAACAAGTCCTGGGAAAGCCAGCTATGTCCCAACAAGTCATGGGAGCCCGTTCAGAAGGCACGTTCTGCTTCCTGAAAACGGTCCGAAGAATGGACAATCTAGCTTACCTTTCGAGTTCCTTCTTTTGACACGCACAGGAAGCAGATTGCTTTGCCGGGCGGACAGCAAGTCTGTATCTTGAGATGCTGGAATCAACGAGTTGTGGTGTAGTGGTTCTGGCCGAGCAGCGTCAACATGCTCTCCGGTACAGACTCCCAGTACCTCCAGTCAAGGCATCGCAGAGACAAAGACCAAGGGATGAGTCGAACCGGATAATGCGATCCTTCGCACAGCTTTTTAGATTGGTGCGAACCCTCAGCTCCCTTAAAAAGGGAATGTTTAGGAGACAGCCAGCAAAGCACAACAGTACACACCTCAACTCAAGGAGGTTTCGACAGCAAAACCGCATGCAAGGCTTCGGACTTTGTTTCAAAAGATAGGTTGGCTCGGGGATCCAAGCTTTGGGGGCAGTCTGGGAAGCTTTCTCCTGCGAGGAACATGCCGAGGTCATCGGGACACCGTGGGATGGCGTTGGGGTCCTGGCAGGCAGAGAGGCAGCCGCGGAAGAAGGAGCAAAGCATTTCGGCCTAGCCAGCCACCGAGCACAGATCGAGGGGGACATGGGGATGGCAGGCGTTGGAACGCAGGTGGCAGCGGCTTGAGGATTTGGGTCTTTGGCATCAGAGCAAAAAGCGAAGCCTCTGGATGTCTCAAACAGTAGCCCTCAGCCCAACTGCAGAACACTGCACTCCATGATCCGGAGGCGTCCTCGTCAGCTGCGACGGTCTGCAGTCTACCTATGCTGTGAGGCAACGCTGCACCATGAGAGAGTGTTGTCTCTGAAAGTCTAAGAGGCCTCTGGATTTCCAGAGAACTTGCGTAAGCTTACATGGAGAACTGAGCAGCAAGTAAGCAACAAAGACCACAGGTCTGCAGACAAAGCAAGAAGAGCACTTAAGACAATCAGATTGAGAAACACGAAGAGCTGCAGGTAGCTTGGTGGGAACAAACGGATGGAGAGATGCAAGCACATACACAGTGAGGAAAGAGAGGAACAGATAGGAAGAAACACAAAGAGAGAGAGGGTTCAGGATCGCGGCGCAAGCCAGACCAGTGAAAGATGATGGCCCGGGACCGTGAACAGCATCGAAATTCGAAGTTTGGAGATCTGCTGCCTCGAGCTACACAGGACGGGCCTAGACAATGCGGTCGTGTATGTCATGTGTGCCAGGAAGCAATGGTCGACCACCAGCTGCGTCAGCGCTATGCCGAAGCCGTAGAAGAGGATCCTGCAAGGCTCCAGGCGTGTCCAAGCTCAGGGATGGCGTGGGGGATTTTCAGGTGTGGCATACTGACTCCAGGCTCTGCGCAACGGGCCCTCAACGCTCCTAGAAGTCCCAACAACCCGAGAAGGAGAACCACGTGTCAATGTAAAGCTGTTTGCCGCAGAACTTAAGCAGATGCGAGCCTGTCGGCTGCACCTGCTTCGAGATCAAGTTGCGGGGCTGCTTTTACACCCAGATGTTCGATATCCAGAGCAGGGTAACGTCTAGTCTTGTGCCAAAGTGAAACCCACTCGAAAGCAGTCGCAGCCACGATGATGGCTGTGTTTCGGCGAAGCGAAATCTCAACGGAAAGCACAACGCAACGTCCATGAGGCAAATTCTAGACCAGCGTCATGAGCATCACCAGCGTCCAAAACAGTGAGGCAGTTGTACCAACAATGGAGAGGACAAGCCTCGGACAAGCTTCAGATTCCGTGAGATTCGATTGTTGTGTTTGTCAGTGTTTACCCTCAAGGCTTGTGGAAAGCCCTGACCCCACGGTTCATGCGATGGCCTGAGGGCTGATGTAGGGACAAGGCATCAGTCGATGCAGCCCGGTCTACCAAGCCGTCGTTGCTGGTGGCACAAATAGGACCAGTGGTGGCAAAGTGAAGTACAAGCTGTTACAAGCTCCTCTGGCGAAGGTATTCGTGACACTGACATTTGCATATGACACTGACATTTGCATATGCTGTGAACCTGATACAAAGTCTTGGATGCTTGGGGCCGACCTGCTTTGGGCTCTTTGCGGGCCAAAAAGCGTGCGAAGAGCACTGACGTAACCTCACGCAAGAATGAACATGCAGCTCAGATGAAGGAGAATCGTACCACATGCGAGAACCCGAAAGCACTGCAGAGGCAAGTTCTGAGAGTAGTTCTTCTGGCGGATGAGGAGATGCTTGATGCAATGAGTTTCCGTGGGTGCAGGCATTTTCATGTGTCGGTGCTAGAGTGCCTCAAGTGTCACACCTGATCCCAACCTCGGTAGTTTGACATCGTATCGCCATCATGCTGCTATTGCTGCTACTACTACTACTACTACTGCTGCTAACAATAGTAGTAAGAATAATAACAAAAATAATATTAAAGATAATTGTAAGGATAATGATCATAAAAGTCGCGATAGCAATAACAAAAGCCATCATCATCATCATCATCATCATCATCATCAGCATCATCATCGTCATCATCATGATAGCAATAACAGTAGTCACCATCATCATCATCACCATCATCACCGTTGTGGGATGCGACGGCACATATCGTGGTTGCCATCCTTTGCGCAGGGATGCTGTCAGTACCAAGAAAGCTGCTATGGTCATCTGCATCTACAACACAAACTCTCGTTGTGGTGCCGGTGCTTCCTTGCACAATCGTGCAAGAAACGTAAACCTTGTGCAACAATGCAAAACTCAAACGACAACCGAAGCCACCTTTTCCTTGTTGTCAAACGAGGAAGAGGTTCTGACAGTCGCTGCTGTTTATCCGCATCAGTTTCATAGGACACGATGGCAGGTCAACGCAACAACAAGTGTAGCATGACGTGAGGAGAAACCAAACTTCAGCCGCTGCCTTAGGGAGCCTGAGCCTCTGCAATTTTTGCTCCACTGTCACAGTTGGTGAGCCTAGAAATAGTTGTAGTATTAGCAGAAGCACCAGCAGTAGCAGCAGTAGTAGCAGCAGCAGGAGTAGTAGTAGTAGTAGTAGTAGTAGTAGTAGAAGTAGTAGTAGTAGTAGTAGTAGTAGTAGTAGTAGTAGTAGTAGCAGCGGTAGCAGTAGCAGTAGCAGTAGCAGTAGTAGTAGTAGTAGTAGTAGTAGGCCGTCGTAGTAGCAGTAGTAGAAGTAGTAGCAGCAGCAGCAGCAGTAGTAGCAGTAACAATAGCAGTAGTAGTAGCAGTAGTAGTAGTCGTCGTGGTGCTGGTGGTAGTCGTCGCAGTAGGCGGCAGCGGCAGCAGGAGGATGTGTGTATGTTAACAATGATGGCCCAAGACGTAGCTTCCTATGGTGGGTGAAGATCGTGACTAGCCTTGGAGGTACCAGTCGAAGCCGCAGCGGCAGGAGCACGAAGAGTCATGATGCCACAGTGCTGGCCGGTTTGCCGAGGCACGAAAGAGGCGCACAACACGGATGCCCCGAAGGGCCCGGGCCAGGCGCAGAAGGGAGGCGAAGAGCTGCTGAGCACTCCTTCATACACGAATCCCGACTAGCGAAATTGAGAAAGAGTCCCATGTCAGCAAAGGACTAGCGGACTAGCGAACCTGTCAAAAAGGAACAAAAGAGGAGACAGCGCAAAAGGCAGTAGATACTGTGAGAAAGAGGGGCACACCACACACCAAAGCGACTGGAGAACTCGAGAAAGAGGAGAGACCGCTCGATAGGCGCTGGAAACAAACTCGACGGAATAGAGCCAACTACAGTTGCTTGGCCGATGCGTTCTTATTGCCAAGCTTCGATCCGTCCATTTCGCCTGGGTCATCCGAGACAGCTTCCGCCCAGAAGTTGATCAAGCTCTCGCTAACCTGAACGACGGTTGAGCAGCCAGGCTCATACCAGCAACCCTGTGCCGCTAGGATTGCTGCGACGCTTGAATTCAGGCTGTGCGCGGCATGAGTGCTCGAAGCCTCTGTTTAGACAGCTGTTGTCGGTTTAGGATGCCGCAAGCCCGACTTCCAGAAATGCCAGCGCCGAAGTGTAAAGTTTCCAACCATCCAGCTGCCCCAGGCATCCACACCCAGAGCTCGTAACTTTATCGAAAGGGCGTCGATGCTTGAGCACACTTGCGGTTGATAGCAGCCCTCGACACTGTGCTTCCCATCCCGAGCTCGCACGGTTGTGGAGACTTTACACACCTCCAGTATGAGCACCCAAGCTCGCCTGGCGGCTTGAGCTGTTACTTGACTTTGAAGCCCATGAACATCAGCTGGTTAGGCCGACCCTGGTCCCCCAATGATCCCCAATGCCCAAGCTTTCATCCCCAGTCGCAGACACCGCCACGATGCAGAAGTCGAAGATATTCCTGGTGCAAAGCATCAGAGCATGAGGGACTGTAAAGTCGGATACCCTGATAAGACTTGCCCGTGGTGCCAGGCACTGTCTGGGCCCAGCCAATAAGTGCTGCACCTGGGAGGCTACGGGAGTTCCTTTTCGGGGCTTGGGATGTCCACAACTCCGGGAGTCTCTCTGCGAGACGAGAGTTTGAAGAGCTGTATGCAGTGAAGCACCCCATTGCCAGCAGCTTCAGTGTCACCTGGCCGATGTCCAAAGGACAAAGCAAACGCTAGAAAGCGCGACTGTGACCAAACCGAAGCCTCTTAAGGTACTCTGAAAGTTGCACAACGTCCATCCAGAAAGCCATGGTAAGCCATGCCTCCACAACGAAGACGCCGACGATGACCAGGTTAATGATCCCGAACGACTGAGGGACATCCTCGAGCTTTGGGGCTCATCGAAAGTCTTGTGCGTCGGCCGTCAGTTCCTACGGAGCTGCCGCTGGGAACCGACGGACAAAGACATACAAGTGTAAGAAGATTCTATGTGAATTGAACTCGCTCGGAAGCCGGACTTTCGCGCCCGGCTGCATTGACTCCGAGACTGGAGGACACATCCACCTCGATCCCAAGGAGGATCACGTTGGCGAGAATCCTGAGAGCACGGCTCGACCCTCTGGCCCTTGATGCATGAGACAGCTTCGAGCTGCTGCCGGAAGGCCTGGAAACGATCTCTCGGGTTCAATGGCACAGACTCCCAAAACCTTACCGGTTCTCGTTCAGAAGACCTGAAGAGCCCCAAGCAAAGCCAACTGCTGTGCAGATTGTGGGAGATTTGCGCTCGGACTGCCAGGACCACAAGGAGTTGAATGCACGAATGTTTCTCAACTTAAGGTTTGCTCCTCATAAAAAATAGGCTCAATCCGAAATTTCATAGGGAACTGAGCAAGCAGGTACCACGGGCGAGCGTCGTGTGCTCGATCTTGAAACAGGATGTCACTGCATAGCCACGTTTTGCAATCGCAGCAACCGCTGCGCTTACGAATGCCCCGAAACGACATAAGCAGGTGAGGAGCAGGAGCATTATGAAGTGCGTGAAGTAGGGCCAGCCCACCTTGGGAACTCAGGAAGGATCCCATCAAACCCGAGTCCCAGTCTTCCGGTGTCCCTTCGCCTTCAACTCTCCCCAAGGACAAGGAGCCTGGAGGCTTGTAACCTTGTAACCTGCACCGAGCTCATGTGCTACTTGCCGCCGCGTGACAATCCTCTGAGAAAGGCCCTTGATGCCCGTGCCACCTTCCACGTCATAGCCGGCCTTGTTGCGGCTTAGCGGGAGCTTGCTCTCCTGGACCTATCAAGTCCATGACTCCCTGTACAGAGCCGCGCCTTTTGCTAAAGCTCAAGTGGGAGTTTCCATGATTAGAGGTCGTCCTTGCCGAAACGACCAATGAGACACGGGACCGTTCAAAGGATTGACGACAAGCCAAAGGCCATATATCGCTAGTGCAACACCCCGCTGAAAGACACAGCCCAGTTCTCCGAGCAGCGGAGCTCGCTCTCCTCTGCATGGCCAAAGACTGTCCGGCAACGTTGGCCTTCTTCATATGGGCCTCCGAAACAGAACCCTTGATCCCGAAGTTCAATACAGGCTACGGTTGATTGCGTGTCAAATGCAGTCGGTCCCATCGCTGCTTGAAGTGCTGCACTGCTGCAACATCTTTGTTTTGACAATCAAACTGAACAGCATGTTATCACCGATGCCTTGAACCTTACTGCCGAGCTCTGCCCTTGCTGGGATGTAAGAGAGCGAGACGACCGCATGGATCGGCAGCTGAAATGTGGCTAGTTGGCTCAGATCGTGGGACACTGTGCATAAGACG